CAGTCTTGGGGGTGAAAATAACACTGTCATGCTTGTATTTGTAATTGGATGCACAGAACAAGAGCCTTTTTATTTGGCAGTTTTGGTAGGTCAGCTTGATCTTCAGAGAACACAGTGTTTGGTACCCAGACTCCCAGGGGCAGCAGGAAACAAGTCAAGAGAGTGACAGAAAAGTAAGTATTGCACATATTGGAAAAGGAAGGACATGTTAAAAGAGTTGTAAGACCAATTTCATGTCTGGAACTGTACCAAAGCCTCCAAAAATTAGCCTGGGTATGCCACGCACCGCACCTGCACTCTCCAGATAAAAAGTCCAATTCAGCAAGAAAGGCCCAGACCCCAGGAGCAGAATGATGAAAGGCCAGTTTCTCTCCACTCAATTAAAGCCCACCTACACTCCTGGTCTATAGCCAAGACGTGGTGCTGCAATGCCCTCACTCGCTTTTGTCAACAGCCATCCTACCGCACTCAATTTCCCCTGCCCTGCAGGCCTGCAACCTCCTTCTCTGGACAATCCGGCCTGTTGAGTCTCTCAAATGGGGCTGAGACCAGAGAGTGACAAACAGATGTGCATAAACATGCATTAACTGTGTTCCAAAAAAAAGCATAATGTTTTGCATTTGAGTGCACTGAATGCTGATGGCTGAGATCTTAATGGGGTATTTTGGTGTATCATCTTAAACTGCATTATCCGTAATTATGGACCATATGCTATGCTGCTCTGGCAGTTGCGAGGGCATTCCCGCCTCCACAAGCATGTGACTGGTATCTTGATGGACTGAGGCCATGACGGGGCCAGCGCTAAGGTTCTCTGCGGTAGGTCTGCACATCCAATTGGCTTGTCAGTTGAGATCACTCACTTCTTTTGACAGCCAAATATTGATGCATTTGCATACCACCAGGTTATTTTAAACTACATTCATCAGCGAAAACACATACTTGCTTAGCTGTGCAAAACAAAGCCCTCGACAGAGTTCTGTCCAAAAAAGAGACTGATGCATTCAATATTTAATCCACAGTGAAAATTTCATAAATTAAGAAAAAGACACATCTAAAGCAATCACAGGGAACAGGCTTCCACCACCCACCCTGAAAAACAAAATGTGCATGTTTAATGAAATGCCAATGAATGGTTAAATGGAAGACCATTTTCAGTGTAGGCTTGAAACATTTTTACCTCATTAAAAATGTAGTGGAGGAATAACAGGTGCAAGCTGACACAGCATTCCGGAGCTAAGGGAAAGCACTGATTTTTAATGAGCTTCTTCTACATCGAGAAGTGGGGGAGAGAAAGAGAGCGTTTGCCAGCCACTGGAGAATTGGCCAGAGCTGCTGTTTGTTTACTTGCAGTAGCATAGATAACGGATTCACTCCTGGTTTCTCTCTTTAACAGCCGGGTAAGGTGTGGGGTGAAATTCGACTTGAGTCATTTACCCTCAGCATCTCTATAAGCATTTACAGATAATGAACACGAACATATCACCCAGGATGTTTAATAGGAAAAACGTCCAAGCGAGCAAATGTGCACTAAATTCTATAATGTTGGACAAATCTGATATATAGCTCACTTCAAAATTAATGTTGCAAAGGCAATTGTGAATATAATTGTGTCCAACGGGGATTTGTCATTTTAAACGACCCAGTCTATTACATTTTTGCAGTATATTTGGTCTTAAATACTGACCATGAAATAAGATTAAATTTTCCACTTGTATGGAAATAGATAAGCGAGCATGCCAAAAATGGTTCTGATTCAGTCAGTTGTTCAGAATGTAATGCAATATATACTCTAATGCAGTCAGTGGGATTTAAAAATAAATAAATAATCAAAACTCAATGTTAATCGAACAAATTTTAGACTTTGGAAGTCTCAAAACATTATAAGCATTATAAAATCAATCAACCAAAACTTTTATTTAGAATGACTTTTATATGGACCTCACTTAATATGTTAAAATGAGACTCTGACATGCTTCACTAAGATTCCCAGATAGGACAGATTATGATGTGCAGAGTAGCTTTGACATACCTTGACTATTCTCCAAAGGCAGGACCTTTTCAGACCAATGTCTTGACTTTAAAGAAGTCTATTTTTAGATTTATTTAATCTGTAAGAAGGTAGACAGACTGACTGAAAGATCTTTGTGTCAACTTTCCATTTTTAGGTATCATATCTCATATGATATCATGGATTTGACAAAACAAGGTAATAAAATCTATCCGCATACCATAACAGGACCCTTGAATTACAGAAGGCCTGACAGCAGGTTGGTAGTTCACATATATATTTTTGAAACATTTAGGCTGCTGTGATATTTCAAGTAATCATAAAAGAAATTCATAAAATCATAAAAAACACATGGCTTGAATATACATAATATTAAAGAGCTAATTTTTTAAAATGTAT